CTCTACTCTTCTAGTTTAATTTTTCTTTGTGAAACCAGAAATAAAAAAAATGTTATGGAAAAGATCAGGAAAAGAATAAATCATGAGAATTGCTTTGTTGTGGATGCTTTGGGTAAGGCTGATGGTCTAACTTTATTTTGGAACAATGAGCTGGATGTGGAGTATGTTAATAGTTGGGGTTTTTACATTGAAGCTAAAATTGTGGAAAAAGATAAACAAATCAGTTAGTGGTTCATAGGTGTGTATGCAAGCACTGATGACAAAATAAGGAAGGAAAAGTGGAGAAATATCAATCAAGAAAAAGGAAAATGGGGAGAAAAGTGGATGATGGCTGGTGATCTAAATGATATACTATCAAATGAGGAACAATGGGGTGACAGAAATAGACCTGATAGTAACTTCAAAGACTTTAGAGAGTTCATAGATAGTAATTAACTGATAGACCTTGGTTTTGACGATGTGCCATGGACTTGGTCTAACCAATAGGAGGGGGTGGACTTGTTCAGCAAAGACTAGATCGATGCCTAGCAAATCAATGATGGATCCAACATTTTAAGGATGCAAGAAAGCATCTGATCACTGTATTATGGTAATTGCTACTGAACCAGCTTAGAAGAAATACAAGAGAAGGTTCTATTTTGACCAGAGGTGGACTTATGAGGAGAAACTAATACAGTGATTTCAAATGTTTGGAAGGAACACCAGCAATGATCCAGGTTTTTTAAAGTGACAAGAAAGATTAAAGCATACAGATTGGCCTTGATGGAATGAAGTAGAAAGAAAAGGAACAACTCAGGAAAGATAACATAAAACTTGAAAAAACAAATTGAAGAAGTCAAGCAGAGTGATTTTGGCCAAAAGAAGGACATTCTAGATGAACTAAAAGGCAAATTGGGCAAGACATATAGGGATGAGGAAATCTACTGGTCCCAAAAGGCAAGAAGTAAATGGCTAAAGCATGGTGATAAGAACACTGCTTTCTTTCATGCCTTTGTGAGAATTAGAAGAAGACAGAATAGAATCTCAGGACTGCAAAGAGAGAATGGAAGCTGGTGTGATACAAAGGAAGAAATGTTCGAAGAGATTAGTAATCATTACAGCAATATTTTCAACACATCACAACCAGATAACATTGATGAGGTTCTTGATAGTATCCCCCATACAATATCTCAACAGATGAATGAAAATCTGATCAAACCTGTGGATGAAAAGGAAGCCAAAGCTGCAGTATTTTCTATGCATCCAAATAAAGTGCCAGTTCCTAATGGTAGACATACTGGCATACCCTAAATTTGGATGTAGTAAATGCTATCAAGAGCTTTTTTCATAGTGGTTATATGCTGAAAGCAGTCAATGAAACTTTGATAACTCTAATCCCTAAAGTGTCTGCTCCTACTAATATTAATTATTATAGGTCAATCAGTCTTTGTAATGTTCTCTTTAAAATTGTTTCCAAAATCCTAAAAAATAGGTTGAAAAGGGTACTGTCTAAGTGTACCAATAAAGCTCAATCTGCCTTTGTTCCAAGCAGACAGATTCTGGATAATATTTTTCTATCTTATGAGGTTATGCATTTCCTAAAAATTAAAAGAACAGGTAGAATAGGCTTTATGGCTATCAAGCTTGACATGTCCAAAGTATATGACAGAGTGCAGTGGCAATTTCTGGGAAGCATCATGTTAAAAATGGGATTTTGCCCCATTTGGGTTAGATGGATTATGAATTGTCTCTCTACTGTATCCTACTCTTTTAACCTTAATGGTGAAAAAGTAGGATATGTCCAACCTAAGAGGGGTATAAGGCAGGGAGACCCATTATCTCCTTACTTATTTTTGTTTGTTGCAGAGGCACTTTCAAACTTGATAAACAAAGCTATTGCAAACAAGTTGTAGACATGTATCCAAGTAGGGAGAAAGTGTCCTCCCATCACACATTTTTTTTTCGCAGATAATGCTTTGTTGTGCTACAAGGCCTCAAACTAGGAAGTCTGGAAGGTTAAAGAGATGTTGAACAAATATGCAAAGAACATTTGGACAGCTAATCAACTTTGAAAAATCTGCTATCTACTACAGCAGAAACACTGACCTGGACATTAGACAGGAAATATGCAGCATACTTGGAAACCTAAGAGAATCATTCAGTGCGAAGTATCTAGGCCTCCAAATAGTGATATGAAGAACAAAGAATCAGGTGTTTGGGGAAGTGAAAGGAAGTGTAATATAGAGACTACAAGGTTGAAAAAGAAACTTGTTGAGCCTAGTTGGGAAAGAAGTACTGCTGAAATCTGTGATAATGGTCCTCCCAATTTGCACAATGTCTTACTTTAGAATCCCAAAAGAAATGTGTAAAGATATTAGTAAACAAATGGCAAGGTTTTGGTGGGGGCAGATGAGCATCAAAGGAAAATACATTGGACCAAATGGAGTGCACTTACTGAGGTTAACGGAAAGGGAGGATTAGGCTTCAGGGACCTGGAAATGTTCAACACAACGTTACTAGCAAAGCAACTATAGAGAATCATTGCTCAACCTAACAGGCTTGTTAGTAGAGTTATGAGAGCAAAATACATGAAAAGAGAACAGGACTGGATGAGGCAAGCTTCTACATCAGCATCATATCTATGAAAGAGCCCACTGAGTGCAAGATTCCTTTTGATAAATGGCATAAAAAAACAAGTTGGGGATGAGAGTACTATCAAGGTATGGCAAGACAAATGGATACCAGATTCAAGAGATGGTAGAGTGGAACAAGATAGAGCAACAAATGGGGACGTCCAATATGTCAAAGATTTGATTAAACAAGGACAATGGGATAAGGAGCTACTGAATAAAATCTTTAGTAGAAAAATGGCCCAAAAGATTGCAAAAATACCACTCAGTATATACTAAAGAATGGACAGACTAATCTGGAACCACTCAAAAACTATAGAGTACACAGTGAGATCAAGTTATGCACTAGCAAAGGAAATGGAGGCACAGGCAACAAAAACAGTACAAATCAAGGAGCAGACAAGTAGCCATAACAGGAAGGAAAGTTTGTGAAAAAAGTGTGGGGAACAAATGTTAAACACAAACTGAAACACTTTATTTGGAAATGTCTGCAAACTGTATTCCAGTCAATGATTTAGTGCACAGAAGAACAGGGAAATGGGACAACATATGCACAAGCTGTGGGGATGGAATTGAAACTCTAGATCATCTGTTTTTTGAATGTGACTATGCTAAAAAGATTTGGAAACTCGGTCCAATCAGTTGGGATGGATTAATAGACTTGCAAGCTTGCTTCTGGAGATGGTAGGAAGGGCTCTTAGAAGCAACTCAAACAGTCAATGGCAAGGAACATATAGAACTAACAATCAAAATCCTTTGGCAAATCTAGAAAGCAAGGAACAAGATTATTTTCGACAATGCAAAAGTGGAGGAAATCATAGTTGTAAGGAAAGCTCAGCAAAAATGGATAGAATTCAAGGAAGCTGTGGAACTAAAAGACAGAGCTGGCATTGTTGAAGTAACCCCCAATCAGCATGATAGAAGATGGAAGCCTCCAATAGAAGATGTGTACAAGATAAACATCGATGCTGCAATTTCAGCACCGATGATCAGAACTGGTAAAGGAATTGTTGCTAGGAACTGGAAAGGAGAGATCATGAAAATTTGGGCCATAATGGAAGAAAAGATAGGGGAACCAGAACTAGAGGAGGCTACGGCAATCAAAGCAGCAATGCAGCTAGGAAAAGAAGCAGGTTGGAGGAAGATTGAAATACAATCAGACTGCAAAAGTGTGATAGACTGCATCCTAACAGTCTTATGCAACAACTGCAACTATGCTGTGATATTGGAGGATATACAAAAGCTGAGGGATTTTTTTAATCAATGCAATTTCTCCTTTATATAGAGAGAAGGAAATGAAGTGTGTCATAGGTTAGCAAAATTTACCTTGAAACTAGTTAATGATGTATATTGGAAATCAAAATTCCCGGATTGGATTAAAGATCTAGCAAGAAGGGATTGTGAGGCAGTTAGGCCTTTTTGTAAAGCATACTTGTATTATCAAGTTTTAAATCAATACAAATGTTATTGTTTTGACAAAAAAAAAAAAAAAAAACAAGGCTTTAGCTCTTTTCATGCTTTTAGGAAAGGCATGAAATTTCATGGCTTGGAGAAAAAATGTAAAGTAATAGGGATCAAATTCTATTTTAGTTTATAACTTTAAGAACCTCTTTGGTACATTTTTCAAAATTTGGGGACTGAAATTGTAGTTCTTCCTTTTTTAAAAATTATTTTCTTTCCTTCGAATTTGTTATGGGTAGAGACACAAGAGGAAGTTCCATGTTAAGGATAAGGTTAAAAGATGAACCAAATTATACAATACTCAAATCAAGTTTAATTTGGTAAAAGTTTGTTTGAAGTTAATTGGTTAACTAGTTAAATCAAACTTGAACATTTTTTTTTAGATACGATAACTTTCAAGTTCAATTAAAAAAAACTCGTTTAAATTCGATTCGATAACTAAATATGTTAAATTTAAATAATATTTCAAATTCGTTAAAATAATCAAACAACCATGAACACTAAAGTATTCGACTTGATTAGATTCGATTATATCCCTAATCAATAAACCCCTAGTTGCCGTCCATCTATACCCAAATTTTTGGAGACGGTTGGTTGCAGCAATACATTAGGCAAAAAGAGTCACCCTACTACCACAAGGTTATTTATTAATGAGCCCGTCCAGGGACAAAAACCCCAAATATGCTATGTGGATTGGAATTTAATCTTACTGGTTTCTACTTTGATTGGCTTCCTTTGTAAATTAAATGCACAATGCAGAAATCCCAAGTACAACGAATTTGAAAATCCAAACTGTGAAAATGGAAAAGAAATTAACAACAAACTAGTTCTAGATAAGAATGTATGTAAATTACAAGGGAGGAAAAAAGGACGTGGAATAAATATTAGTATACAACTACTTAATACGAACATTGATTTCCTTTTTTTTTTTATATATTTTTCTTAATTTTTGTCATAAGTTGAGTTTTCCTTTAACCGATTTGTCGTCTGTGACAAACTCGCATTGATCACTGATCAAACAATATACTGAAAAGGGCCATCACTAACTACAGACGGCCCAAAACAAGCACCGGCCCCATTCAAGGCCCGAATCTATTGGTCCAACTGGAAATAAGCACCTCGGGGCCCAACAACAACAAAGGAGTCAAGGCCCTGTTTTCCACCACCGCCCTCAACGCCTTCCTCAGCGACCCAACGGTCCCAACCTCCTCCTCCTCCTCCTCCTCCTCACCACCACCACCGCCACCACAATGAAGGCTTTGCTGGCACCATTGCACCACCAAGACCGCCTTGGTCCGTCCTCCAATGGTACCCATCTCAGCCTTGACCACCCTCCCTTCAACAGACTTAACCGCTTCCATCAAATCAGCATTCAACCTCGGCCTGTCCTCACAGCATATCGTGGCTTTCACCATTAACAGTTCTCCTTGATCAACGCCATGATCTCCTCCTTCACCTTCAGAGTAGTAACTCACACTCACCTCATCTTTCTCACCGGGTAAAAACAATGAACAACTCCTTTTGCCACCAATGCAGCACTCTTCTTGGCCATCCTTGTTCATTTCAACATGGTCAGCCACCTTCTTCCTCAGCTCCTTTAGATATCGAACCGTTTCCATAAGCACCCTTGGTTTATCACTCTGCAAGACAACAATAAACTATTTTGCATGAACACAATTTCTTTGAATTGTCCAAAAGTGAATTTTCTATGGTGCCGAAAACCAATGAAATGTGCAGAATCAATGTAACTCATATAATATATGAACGTGACACTGGTGGATAATGTAAATTAAATTTCTAACTTACACATGTGGTGCTTTACCCACATTACTCGACATTGTACCAGTAATCTGTAACTTGCAAGTATATATATGATGTAGCTTCCAAATGCTACATTTAACATTCTTGTTGATTTTAAGACCGTCTAAAGACCAAGTCTATCAAACTACATTTTCGAATAAAGAATATTGTGTGATTATGCATGCATGGTGCTGGGAAATCATACAAACTTCCAATACTATATGTTATTCTTGTTTCTACCCGGCCCTAAAGAGAACAAATTTATGTATTAGGAAAAAAAAAGCCCTTACTTTAGGGAGATTGGGGAAGAGTTTGCGGAGAGTATTAAGGTGGTTGTTGATTCTTTTCCTACGATAACGCTCCGCAAGGGCATGTTTGTTAGCAGCAGCTTGTGGATTTTTTTCAGGAGTCTTGAGTCCAGAACCTGAGCTTAAAACTCCAGCACCATCTTTTTTTGTATACTGCAACCCGTAGCAGCCTTGAACTTGAAGCATTTTCAATACCTCCTCTGTAAGTTCAATTTCAACAAGTTACACATAAAAAGAAGATATAGAATTCAGTTGAATATGCAAGTATAGAGGTTAAAGAAGATTGGAAGAGATTACCGAAAAAAAAAGGAGACAATTTATGGTTATTTATTATAGGGATATCATTTTGTGTGCGTGTGTGTGTGTAGTAGAGCAAATGCTGGCATTGAAAATGAAGATTTGAAGATCTGTGGAGGGTAATGTTGATCTGATTCATGAAATCAATCAACGAAATCCCAAGAAACTTACGTAAGAGAGATTTGGATAATTGATTAATTGGTAAAAGCTATGACAGCTGCTGTTTCTAAAAAATGGGACAACTACTGATTGTGCTTTGGCCTTTGGTTGACGAACTGAAGAGAGGCTTTGGTTTTGGTTTTCTTACAGTTGGAGGTCAAAAGGTAAATGGTTGCATGGGATGCCACACGGTTTGCAGAACAAGAGACAGATATATATATATATATATATATGTATGTATGTATGTATATGTGTGTGTGTGTGTAGCATTCCTTGGTGTGTTATGGTATATTATGGATTGAATGCTTTTGGGATTTTGAAGAAGAAATGGTACTCTTTATTATTCAAGTGTTAGACAGTTGTCACATTAGGAGATTACTAGAACCTGCTGTTTTAACCAAATGAGAGAAATTAATCTGCATGATTCACGCGATATATAACATTTACAAGTAGTCTGCCTTTTACTCATGGTATCCAAAGAAGTTAATGTTCTTCACATTGAAAAGTTGACAGACAAAGTTAATGTCAGTATATTACAATGTTACCAACTTCCGGTACTTCTCTTTCCTTGTCTTGGGGTTTGGTCCTGTTTTTTGTCAAGGATTTTAGCATTTATGTGTGCAATGGCCAATGATTTCACGAGATTTTCTTCATGGCATCCCTTTTAACATGTTCCTCTGGAAGTCGTTTCTACATTGCAGACCCTGTATACGAATTCTTCAGACGAACATTCAAAAGCAAAAAACCATATTAAAACTGAGTCACTCTTTTTTGCTCGCTAAAAGATCAGATTTTGATAGTTTCTTTGTTAGAACATACTAGTTTCTTGTGTATTGTAATGCAAATGCTCAAACAAGTAACCCTTTATACTCCCCCTTCCCTTTCTATCTTTTTTGGGCACATTATGCTGCTGAGAAATCAATAATTGCATCTTTCTGCTGTCACCTCTAACCTTATGTGGAGCTGAGAAGAAACCAGAAGATGATTTAGGTTTTTCTTTGAGTGGGACCCTGGGGACTTTGTCCATTAATTAATTTGACAAGGAGAGATCATTCTCCGATGGGCAGTGTTAGGCTAATAGAGTGGTACCACTAGTAGTACCAGCCGGCATAGTGAAAAAAAAAAACTAAGATCAGATCGATGATGAAGGATTCTACAGGACTTGTTCAGCTGAGGGGAGGCAAATGCATAAAGGAAGAAGGAAAAAATCAGGGAATTTTTCCTGTTTGCAGATGAACAAAAAGAAGGGTTCATGTTTTTATCCAGTTTGCAGTAAGCATATTGCGACTGCACCAACAAATGCTTTTGTTGCACCAATGTCAACAGAGTACTGGTCTTAAAGCTGCACTGTGCTCGCCCTAAATTAGCCTTTGGTATCAGAACACAGGTCCCACCATTGAAGTTCACTAATCAGTTGCTTCGTCTCTTCTCTCCCAGCAGGAAAACAGGCATCATCACCTTTGTTTTTTTTTTTTTCCTTCTCTGTTTCGCTTTCGTCATCGTTTGGTTGTGATGACTGTTGACCGAGCCCTTATTCTTTTGACCAGATGAAAGGTCGAGAATGGAATGGTGCATAACAGCCTCTTCCCAAACCATAGCCAACACGATTCAAGAAACTGGAACTCCTTCATGAGCATAATAGCATTGTAATAGCATTGTACGAAGTGTGAATATTTTTCCATGCTGCCCCTCTTTTGCTGTACTTATTCCAGTTACTTTTTAGTCCCTAAAGTGTTAGGAAAAATGGTAGTATAGTTTGTAACATCTTGAGACCCGCAATCACTTTATCTTAGTCTCTTTCGATGAAAATTTGAATTTTCAACGTTTTTTTATTGAACTTTTTTAAGAGAATCAATGGTGATTGTCTACTCACGCCTTTCGATATTTTGAACTCGCCTTTCGATATTTTGAACTCGTGATCTATCGGTTGTAAATGAAGCGTCTTATCACCTTAGACTGCGCTCCATTGTCAAATTTGAAGAAAGCTTTGAAAACAAAAAGAAAAAAAAAGATTAAGGATTTTAACAAAGCAGAGGTGAAAAAAAAAAAAAACTGCACGCCACATTACTAGCTTCAACACCATCTGATTCTAAGATTTGAAGTAATTTTTTTATCCCTCTGAGCTATACTTTTTCTCTTCCCATGTCAAAAAAGGCATTCATTGTTACTATTCAGTGGGACATTGGCTCAGCAAGAGAATTTGGCACCTCCTGCAGCACATTTTCATGCAGCCACATAAAAACAAAGCATACCAGCTGAATGATCAGCGTAGACCAATCACATTCTCTGAACGATTCAGATATTCAAGATACACAACCAAAAAAAAAGGTGGGAAGGGTATAATTTCATATTCCTTTCACAAAATAAAAAGAAAGAAGCATACCGTCCAAATTATCAGTAGCTCAATCACATCCTCTGGACATGTTCAAAAGGAAAAGGTACAGCTTCACATGCTTCTTCCAGCATATGCGTCGTGCTCTGATAAGCATCTTTGCAATGTACACAGTTTTAGGTTACAACACAAATATAAGAGTTCCACATTGACAAGTTTACGAGTCAGCCTGCAGAAAAATGTCACGTAGAGTTTTAGTTTCTCAATTAACAATAAGACCATCAATACAGATGTCTTGTTGCAGTTGCTGACTAGTTTACAAGGTGAAATTTCTTTAGTCACTCTGCAAAATCCGCAAAATTTAGGCATAAGCTACATAACTTCCACCACCCCTTTGTCAGTAATAAATGCCGAATAGACAATTTCAGCTACATTGCTGAATAAAGCACCATGACAATGGACCAAAATGTCGTTATTTTATCCTCCCAGTTGCAAAGCCCGCGCATAGTTATTAAAGCAGAAGTCTGTTCAGACCCCTGCACCAGTTCTCATGAATGGAGATGCAGCAGGAGGGATCAAACCAAGAGCTCGCATTATTTTCAGTCTGCGTAAACTCGGATCTCTAGATTTTTCTACCAAGGATGGCAACTGCTAGTAGCATAATAAAAAGCTAAGTCAACAAATGCTGCCCAGGAGATGAAGGATGCAGAATGCTCAAAAGAAAGCAAAGATAAAATTGACCCACAACTTCATGTTTAGTTGCTTTTGCATTCTTCTGCTGCCCCGCTTCCATCTGTGTTTGATGAATCTTAAAAGAATGTGCATGATTCAACAAGATACAAACTATTTGATGAGAAAAAGAAAACAATGAGTTAAAAATAACTAGAGACAACAAGGACTAGCACACGCTCACAGAACTCAGCCTGGGTGTCTTTAGGGTTGCATTCTGTGTCTGATCTTTACTTCTTGATGGTTCGGCTCTCATTGAAAGTGAATCATGATTTTTTTCCCTGGCCTCTGCATTCTGAACAAAAATAATCCTAAAACTATAAATTTTGTCTCATGAAGCACAAAAACAAGATCCAGTAAGAAAGTGCAAGTATGAATTGTAATCTGCTCACAGAATTTGGGCTCTTTGGTTTAAGTTTTTCATGACTACCACTTTCCGTTTCCTCCTCCTCCTTTCCTTGCTCAGACTTTGAAGTCGTCTTGCCCTTTTTAACCGAATTCTGTGCAGCAGTACCATTTGAAGGCTTCTTTTTTGAGGTTTTTACCTGATATAAAGTTCAATTAAAGGAAACCAAAAACCCCAGAATAAAAATGCAAGCCTTGCAAAGAGGAAATTAAGGTATGTAAGACCAGAAAAGATGTTTACTCACAGATACTGAAGTGGCTTTTGGTTTCTTGGGCTTTATATTAGGCTTTGGTTTTCTGCTTTCTGCACTCTTACTTTTTGATAGTAATTGTACTAGGGAGATATTCCCCTAAGATCCCAAAATTGTTTCAACAATATGATAGGAAGACAATTAAGATTCATCCTTAAATGGAACCTAGAATTGCAAATTACTCACAGAGTTCTTCTCTGGCTCCAATTTGGTCTCTTTTCTGCGCTTTGCTTCTGGAGTTGGCTGCGTTTATCATACAAATGCAAAGAAGAAAATGAAAAGCTCAACAAGTTAAACATGAGAAAATGCCAATGAAGAAGGGAAGGAGCCTGTAATCACCGAAATTATGCTATTTGACTTGGGTTTCTTCTGCTCATCTTCTTTTTTCCTTTTCCGGCTTTTCTCTTCTTTGCTCCTCACTGAATCCAAATTTATTTCCTTCGACTTTTTTGTCATTAACTTAGTATTTAGCTTTTCCAAATTTGATTTTACCTGATACACAAAATTGCAGATGCACATGAATTAAAACATATAGATAATGATCCAATCAAACAGGCCCATTAAGAGGCTCAGACCATAAATAGCTCAAGAAGCTATGGAGTAAAAAAAACAAAGCACAGATTTCCATTCTAATGCATTTCTTGAGGACTGCATTACTTTGCTTTTCTTCAGAAGTGTCAGTATGAATTCCAAACATTACTATAAACCTTCAACAATTTAGACTCCCTGAGCACTCACAGTTGGATGGTGATATTGCAATGAAGGAAGAATGTGTTCATTTTCCCCTGATTTTACCAGACGAAAAAGAAGACAAGACAAACTTACAGATGAAAGGGATTTGATATTCTCGCCTTTGTCAATTTTAGTTTGCTTTTCCATTTTATTTTGAGATGCCTCAGCCACAATTGTTCCTGCTCAAACAAGCATGCAACTGTGAAAAGTAAGATAAATAACTGAGTACTTTGAATTATGACTAACACTTTCAATAACTACCATCTTGTGAGTTTCTTAAGTGCAACTTTTTAATACCTCATAAACCTATTACCTTCACAAATAACATAAGCATCAGTATTAATGAGATTGGGGCGCAGAGACGAGCAAAAAAGCTTCAAATGTTTCTTCCCTCATAATGATTAATCACAAATTAAGTAAAGAAAAGACAGCAAATCAGAAAGAGAATAAGAGAAGTCAAGCTGTGTCAAAAACTTTTTGATGCCCCAAAGTAGGAAGTGCGTAACATAAAATTCAACAAAGTTTGGTCATGTAGTTAAGAAAAGAGAGGGAGAGAGACTAGAAAGAGGGTAAGAGAACTGGTAAGCTAAGTCAAAATCCTTGTGACATACCAAAAGGCTAGTATGGCCCATAAAATGGAACGAACAAAAATGAAAACTTCAATAAACATTATTTGATAGAAAACTAGAAGAAGCTACCTCTCTCTTGATTAAATAGTTTCTCATATTACTCATGTAAAAAAGCAAAAACAAAAAAAAGGGAGAATAAAATGGTATACAAAATCAAAAGATGGGCTAACCTTTTGTTTTTTGCTTACATTGACCTGATTTGGAGCGCTGGAGTTCCTACAGTTCAAATCCATTATTGTAAGATACATTCAAAATAATCATATTTTCTGGCCTATAATGATGCATAAAGCACCTATGCATTGCCTTCTGCATATGAAATTGACAAGAAAGAATTACCTGCTTCATAGCTTCACTCAGAATAGCACACTATGACAACTCGTGTATCCCTTGCATCTTATCATTGAAAGGTATAGACAACATAACTGTTCAGAACACTGTTAAAGGGTACATGGACAAATTTAAATGCTCAAACTCCAAGCCAAGTTGAATAGGATCTTACAAAAAGATGCAGGAAGAGGAAACTGCTGCCACAACTTCAAAATTAACAAATTAGTGCAGAGACCAAACAACCAAGAGCAAAGGGCCAGTTCCAACTTGTAGTGTCCTTACAGTGGAATGAGATCTCCACCTGTTTTTCTCCACTTCCCTTTACATCTTCCACTTACAGTGCCTTCATCAACCTACCATCAAATGAAGTAAAAATATGACTCACTTTTGTTCTTTGCAAGATACAGAATGTACTAATTTCACTGGCAGTAACATTTATTTGTGAAATGCAGGAGAACTAAGGTTTTTTTGTAATAAGAATATGGAGCTGAACCAACAAAATCCAGAATGATAACTCTTGCGAGATTTGAAAAACAGTAGTCGCTCTCTCATCTATTTTTCCAACAGAAAATCTGTTACTTGCCCTTAGTTTATCTTAGCGTCTGCAACTGAATGATCAATTTTGCATTCATGCACATTGCTATATGGAGTTGCACGTTATCAGATCAACAATAGACATCACACTGCAAGAAAATTTACTGACATCTAGGTTTTCAAGTATTTGATCGTACTTAAAGCAATTCAAGCTGTCAAAGAGCAAAAATAGGTCATACTAGATATCAACAGACTGCATTATGCGATATAAGGAAACTGAATGTATCTTATATCTTCCCTTTCAATATACAAAAGCGGCTAATCATTATCATCCATATATCTACATTAAATAGCATTTAAGAGTGCATTATTTTGAAACACAAATGCATTGAAAAATATACCCCTACCGTCAATCACATCCACGTGACAGTGGGCTGCCCATGCAACACTATAGCTTCAAGCATTTCAACCACTCACATCCTCAAAGAACCGCTGCATGAAGTAAAGATCTTTGTTGCACATGCTCAGTGCAGGTCTTCAGGATGAGAATGCCTAATGGTTCTAGGTATCAAGTTCTACAATTTCCTCAAATCTAGGATATTGAGATGCCAAGACTATCAGAGATGTCTAGAGGTAAAGGCATATCAAAATTTTCAAACTCCGAAGCATGAAAACTTTACTCTACATTAGGTACATCCAGTTGTTGGAACTAGCATGAAATGGACAGATATCAATATCAAGGTCTGCTGGAAAGCTGCAAATTCTCAACAATTAAAACAAAAAAGGCAAAAAAGACATTGTCATGTTAGAGCAGTTGAATGCCCCTGCATAACTACGAACATATACCAATGGTCCAGCATTGCACTTCAGTAACAATCAAAGATCAAAAATCTAGTAGGACCACAAATTGTAGCTAATTATTACAAGGCAATAAATCATTTCCGCTGCAGCTCAAGGGTTAATACTTTTAGTTAACAACATCAGCTGTGAATTGTCAGAAATTGAAAGTCAGCAGTTAATTTAACACAGGAGATGCTCCAATTAACAGCACTGAGAGACCACATTTTAGCCCAGAGCGTTCATATCGACACAATCGCAAAAAATAGGGGATTAAACCCAGTAACCAAGCAGTATTGGCTTTCATCGATCTTAAATTAATCAAACTACAACCAAAATCAAAAGAAATGAACCAAGAAACAAGAAAAACATTCAAGAAATCCTCCTACCCCTTCTAATTTCCCCAGCCCCAAGTCCCATTTCCAAATAATAACTATGAATATTGGAAAGAAAAAGGATAAATTAACTTACGTGTAGAAGTGAAAAGAGTCCAGAAAAACTTCAGATGTTAGCTGTCAAAAAACTCAAAACTCTTTCCCGTATAATCTGCACTTCTTGTTGGAGAGTGGAGACAATGGGGAGTGAAACAAATGTGGCCAATTTACAACAGCACTTGCGCAGAAATGAGAGTTCCAAGACCTTGGACGACTTTTTCCCTTCAATGTCTCCCAGGTAGAGCTGTAAACGAACCGAAACGAACCGAGTATCTCATGTTTGAGCTCTGTTCGTTAAGCGATTCGAACTCCGTTCGTGTTCGTTCATTAACTTTCGAACTCTAAATCTGTGTTCGTGTTCGGCTCGTTAAGTAAAGTTCATGTTCGTGTTCGTGTTCATGTTCGACTCGTTTAACATAAACGAGCCGTTCGCGAACACGCTCGAAAATTTCGAATCCAGATTATTCTAGACCTTAAATATGCCACACAAATCATTAATCATCCTAAAAAATAATTAAAATACTAAATGATTAAATTCCATTATTCAATAACTGCATAACCAACATTAACATAAAAACAACAAATAAAACAAAGTAATTTGTCCTTCAAATATAAAAATTCAGCCATAAGACAAGTAAAAATTTTCAGCAGCGGCCAATGGGGAAGGAAAACAAAAGTAAGGTTGGAAAAGGAAGGGGAAAGTTTTAGAATTTCTTATGAGTAACCCTAAAATTTATCAAATGACAATTATGTCCTTGTTCGCGAACGCTCGTTAAAATTCGCGAACATGTTCGTGTTCGCTCGATTATTAAACGAACACAAAAATTCGTTCGTTTAAGGCTTTCGAACGAGCCTTTAACGAACACGAACGAGCCGAAACGAACCGAGCTAACGAACAGCTCGGTTCGTTTAACAGCTCTACTCCCAGGTCCTAATAACGAAACCAAAGCCAAAAGGAAAACAAGAAGGGATAAAGAGTTAATTACAAAGTACCCCCTAAAAAAACCACATGCCTTGCCTTGCTTGTCATTCACATGGATGATGGAACAAATCAATTCTCTCAGCTTTTTATGGTTTCCCATTGCCGAGCGCTCCTAAATTGCCTTCCAGTATGATGATTTTGTAACGGAGATGCATGTATATTTATTATTGTGATGAAACGACAGCTTTTTTTTTTTTGGTCTAAATAGGTATCCGGAATTACCAGACTAATCCCTTAGTTGGATAGAGTTTCGCCTCAAATATGCCCAGCAACGATAGCACATGGGATCGAATCTGAGACCTTACTGTAACTATAAATGACCAATCCCAACCGAACTACCTACGGAGCACGATAAAACGAGCTTGTCATAAAATTCATTATTTGTGACCTAGAGTTGGAAAATGTACACTTGAAAATTATTATTAAGTCTATTATTTGTTCTTTTTCAATTTCATGTTTAAAAATGGTGAACACATATTCGTGGGTAAATGTTGATTTCCTTTGCCGAATAATCTCCAATTTTATTGTTCTATGTAAGATGTACGTGTAACGTAATAAAGTTGTAACTAGGGCTGTGCATCGAAATTGAAATCAGTAAATCGAAAGATTGAAATCGGAATTTTTCGAAATTTTGACATGAATTTTTCCGACCGAATTCGATTTCGAAATGGCTAATTCCGATTTCGAATTCGATGCCGAATTGAATTCGAAAATCGGTGAATTTCGAATTCACCGAATTTAAACCTACTCTACTTTTAGTCTATTGCACTTCCTCCTCCTCGGTCTACTGCTATTCTACTTCACTCCCACCGACCATTGCAAACTCCTGCCAATCTAAGTCTACTCCGTTTTCTCCAACTTTCTCTACGCTACTTGTGATTTAGTAAGTAGTACAAATTGCAAAGAGAAATGACCAATGGAATGAGCGTTGGAGCTGAATAAAGTGACATTGGAAATCTTCTCCAAGCTTGAGCAACAGTGGTTGCATTACTGCCAACCCCCCAAGAAGACTCACATTCTCAGTATCGACGGCGGCGGAGTCGACTCCCCCTCTGCCATCTTGGCCGCTCATTCTTGATCCTTCTCGAAGACCAGATCCATGCCAAATCCGTTGATTCCCAATCTCGCATTGCCGATTTCTTCGATCTTATAGCCGGCAATGGCATTGGAAATCTCTACGCCGCAATGCTTGCCGCCGCCGACGGTTACGGACGTCCTTTGTTCATTGCCAGGGACGCCGTCAACTTCGTCGCCCAAAACCAGTCCCTACTCTTTAAAGTCAAGGCCACCCTCACCCTTTCAAGCTTGCTTTCGATTATCGACCCAATCGCAAGTAAATGAGATACTCTAAATATACCAATCCTGTCCTCTGTTCTGGGTATAGTCTATCGTCCTTTCGGCTCGCTGTGTAGGTCTCTTTCTTTCAATACGACGACCTCCGCTTATTCTTTTAGACTCGTCCCACGGAGCGGTATGGAACTCGTTTCGTATGCGGTATCACCTCTTTTGGTTGATTGTCCTGGCAAACCTGAGTATGCCCCTTTTCCGCCAACCTAGGCTTGGGAATTCTCGCTGACAGAGGTTCTCTGGCAGGAGCATGGATAGGGCGTGAAGATGGAGGTGAAACCGAGAGTGAGAGAGAGTAAGCTGAGGAAGTAGGAAATCACAGTGAGTCGGAGACGGAGAAAGAAAGGTAAGACAGTGAGTCAGACGGTGGAGGCAAAGAAAGGAAGGTGAGAGATAGTCTTGAGAGACGATGAGGAAGATGTGGCGGAAGAATAACAAGAGTTAATAGATTAGGTTTTTGCAATTTCAATTGTTAGATGTATCAGTATTATTATTGTTATTAACTTATTATGTTATATAATATATATTATATATGTATTGTTGAAAAAATTTTTGTTATATATAAATATTAGGTTGTTTGGATTGTAAGTTATTTGGAATATTTTTACTGTAACACTTTTGTGACGTGATGTATGTGAGATAAAAAGGTAATTGGGAAGATAAAAAAGTATATTGGAAATTATAATGATGATGTAAGTAAATAAAATTGAAAAAATAATGCTTAATCCAAACAAACCCAATTATTCGAAATTGAAATAACAGTTCCAATTTCGAATTCTCCAATTCGAAATCGGTAATTCTGATTTCAAAAATTATATTTTTGAATTCGATCCGATTTCAACCAATTCGAAATCAGAATTATCGAATTCCATTCCGAAATACCGAAATTTCAAATTCAAAGTTTCGAATTCAATTCGAAATCTGTCGGTAAATCGAAATTTTTTGAATTTGCACACCCCTAGTTGTAACTAGTTGATTAATCTAACTAAAGCATCCCATATAACAAAAGTAGTGTGTCTAACTAACTAATTAATCCACAACTGGTTAGAAAGTTATTTGTATAAAGTACTACTACTTTCAAGGTCAATAATTAAGGCCCTGTTTGAAAGGTGAGTTTTTGGGTGTTTGTCTAAAATTTTACTGTAACTTATTGTAGAATTTTTTTAAAAAATTTTTGAAGTTTATTTTTTGAATATTTTGAAATGTATTATTTAAAAACTTTGAAAACTTTTTTGAGGTTACTGTAGTTAAAATTTTTAAAAAACTTGTAGTAGACAAACTTGGCAAAAAACTTGGCTTAAGTTTGGATTGCATTTTTCTAGATTTTTTGTAAAAAAATTACTGTAACGATTTGATATATGTGAGGTAAAAAGGTGATTGGAAAATGTGTTCACCGAAAAGGTAGCAATTTTTCTTTAGGAAATGACTATCCAAACAAGGCCTGCACTTGACAAAATTTGTTTTCCCACCCACATTTATAGTTCCTACTATTTATGTAACTTAAGTTATAATGTTTAAGTTGATTGAAGTGCTATAATCTTATAACAAAGAGTATATTTGGTACACGTATTATTTCTATTTTATTTACACACACTGATTTATTTGTATTATCAATATATTTTTTAATCACCTTATTTATCTCATATACATTACATCAAAAAATGTTACAGCATTTTTTCACAAAATTATCTCAAATAATTTACTATCCAAAGTCCAAACACACTTCAAATTATATGACAAAGTATTCAATTTGATATATAGCTTCCCAACTGGGTTGTTTGTGTCAATTGAGAAATATTGAAAATCCTATCATGGGGCAAAGTGAGAAACATGTTTTGTTGAGGGGCATGTTAGTACCTCCAAAAAGAAACTACGCCGTCCCGTTATCTTTGCTTTTGCTTTGGCTGTTTTCTTCTCCTCCCCATCTGTAAAACCCTTCACCAAGTGCTCTCTCCTTGGCCCTGTCTGATTTTCTCGAAGTGGGTTCTTCAGTCCAGAAGGTAACAATTAAAGGCTCGCTCTTTTTTTCTTCCTTCCCTTCGATTTTTAGCTTTGCAGCATTGAATATTGAATTCTGAATTTCTTTTGACTGGCAAAATCTTTGTATCTGTAGGGTTTTATTCTTATTAAGTGTTTGAGCTTATATTCACGTGCTTACATATTTCAACAGCCATTTGGTATAATCTCATTGTCTTGTATATCCTGTTTTTCTCCGTATTTAATTCCGGATAACATGGGCTAGTAATTTTATAATGTTGATTACCAAAAAGAGGATCTTCAAATGAGGTTTTTTTTTTCTCCTTTTTCTTTTTTGATAGTGCTCTCGTTGAGACTCAGCATCATATCATTTTTCCTTGGTCAAAGAATTATTCATTTTTATTGCCCTGATTCGCTTTATCTTAAGCTTATGCAATCACTTAGTTATGGAATTTTTCTGGAACATTGATAAGCTTATAGTTTATCTAGAGTAATAACAGGCTTTTATGCATATTTGATGCTCCTATGTATGGCTTTTGCTCTTTCCATTTCCCTGCTTGAAGATAAGAAGTGAGATTGCCTGAATGTAAGCTGCTGCAATGATTGAAAATGGTGTACTATTTGTGGAAGTGGTTATTATGCTATAAAATTTTCAAAACAAATTTATATCATTTTGTAATGAAAGGGTTTTGTGGAGGGTAAGAAATACATGGCATTTGAAGGAAAGGGAGATAGAATTTGACTAATAAAGATCAATGTTTGAAAATTCTTTTCTGTACTTTCTTATCAGAATCATTGAGCTGTTGCGTTTCCTTTATTGAAAAAGCAGAACAAAAGAATTCTTGGTCAGGGTGCGTCTCTTTGGTGACACGCTAATTGAATTTTGTGGAGAAAAGTCATGTAGTTTGCCATATTTTAAATAAAAATTAGACCTTTCTTGGTGGATTTACCTTTTCTTCCCCTGTTTCTCCTATTTTTCGCTATAAAGGTTTTATGATAGCATGAAGTGTAGCGGTTGAGCAATTTATCTAGAAATGGTGGATTGGTGGTGGTCTATAGTTGCAGCTGCAATACCAGCTGTGGTTGCAGGGCAGGCTTTCAGGATGAAGAACAGGCGAGCGGAAGAGCAGAGGTTAAAGAGTGCTCGGGGTCGCGAAAAGAGCTCAGATGAAATATTTGTTTGTGAGAGGGTGTGTACTTCGAAGAGGATGCTGAAGAAGGTTGGCGCATTTTCTAAAGACCCAACTCCTGATACTTGCGTGACTGTTTGCGGTGTTTCTGAGCTAGATGCTTGCGCTGATGCTTGTGCCCGGACTGTCTGTGTTAATCAACATCAAGTGCCTAATTGGAATGACATTTGTCTTAAGAGGTGTCAAAGTGAGTGCCTTAGGCTCTCAAATTCTTCTGCTATGTCTTCATAGCATTGCTATTGTTTTTAACATGGCCCTCAGGATTCTATTGCACCTGACGCTCTGTTTGAGACGCGTATCCCTTTTCAAATTCAAGATTTATGCTTCTCATATTGATGGTGCTTTCTTATCTCGGTTTTATCTTCTGGTTGACAATTTCATGTTTTTTTTAAATCAAGTATTTTCTTTTTATATCCATCCCGTCATACTCCACTGACTGCATTTTCCGATTCATTTCAATGGATTTAAACTTGAAGTTGGGGGGGATTTTATCTACCCCAGACGCAGAATAACCTCAGCACATGGAAGATTAGGGATGTAGCATCCATCATCTCAGATGAGGGATGATCATGATTGGCTCCATCCATATTCATACTGCCTTGACGCATGGTTAATGGGGTTTATTCTGTCACCGATGGATATAATCCAAATGGTAGTATGAGAAATTCTGATTCTCCTCTGTTAAACGCTCACCCATGTTTGAGACTCTAGATCTTTTATTTCAAATGATGGCAATGGGAGATTGCTGATTCTGTTTTGTTTGGTAATATTCTGAGTTTATATTCTCTGATTCTCCTCTGCTAAGCTAAATTGAAGATTAAGCATGATGGAAGACGTGTAAGTTTATTAAATCCTTGCAACACAAAGCAATTTCCTCCAACATGTACATCCATCTCTTAAGATGGGCACACTGCCCTGGTTAGCGTTCTTTGAGCTTAAAGCTGAGAGAGAATTCCCTGCTAGACTTAGTAGCCATGCAGTCTCAATTCCCTGCTCGTCTGCGTACATAGCCTTAAAATTCAACTCTCAAACACTCGAGTCAATATGAATCAACTGCAAGCTAAATCCTTGCCATATTCACTTTAATTTAGACATGAATTCGCAAGCACATTCACAGCTACTGCTACATACCAAGAACAATCACCGGTCATTGACAAATTATTGCCTGCAAAGAGAGCGAGATTGTACATAGGCTTCCCTACATGGAGCCAGTTCCAGAGCAGCAAAATATACAAACATTTTTACATTTCTACAAACATAGGGGCATCAGACGAACAACTAAAATGAGTACCAAATACACTTCCGACAACCTAAACATGTCCAAAATTTTCAGCACATCAACAACTTAGAAGCCGATACTACTGTTACCAAACTCAGTCCCCCTCCCTTCCATCCAACCAATCTATTCCACTTCCAACTTATAAGCAGAGGTTCTTCTTGAACCCACCTAGTCAGATTCTTCTAACTCATCAGCAGGAAAACACATTCCCCGTGTAATCCATCGGAGCCGAATTCCACCATTCACCTCCATCACCAGCTCGCCGCCTCATTCCACAGCCAACCATGTTCACTGCTCATACATTGATCACATTCTTCCTAGGCCTACCTCTCTTTTTAGCACTCGGATTTGACACTCTTGCCACCTTCGCAGTCTTCTGCTCCTTCCTCCCACTCTCCATCCCCCCCAGCATTACCCCCAACATTTCTATTATTGTTTTCCTCATTACCCGGAAACATCGGAGGCATCCAATTCGGAAACCCAGAAGCATCAACACCCTTCCCACCATCCAAATCCCCGCTCGCAAAACCCATCGGAAAAAAACCCCAACAACAGTAATACGCCTCTTTCCCCGGCACCGTGGGCGGCATTGCCGAAATCTCCATCCCAGTGAACGCCCTCTCGCAATTCTCACACCTCAAACAACACCCCTCGTAAAGCCTGGGATACTCGTAAAGATTATAACAGTACGGACACACCGTCCAAAACGTCGTTGTAGCCCCCTTTGTCCCCTCATGGCCCCACCACCACCACTTCCGCTATTGCTCAAATTACTCCTCCGGCCGAAGCCCGGGCAGTGTTGGGTGTAGAGCTATTGACATTGCTAGCATTGTTACCAGCACCACTAGCATTATTAGCGGTATTATTTCCCCTGGAGCTTCGCCGGACGGGCAATTTCTGATTGGAGACATCATCCTTGTGTTGGCGCTGCTGCTGCCGCTGTTGTAAATCTTTCTGCCTCTTCATAGCAGCTAGATCTATCTTGGTAAAAAACGACAGCTCCTTATCGTAGGCGGATTTCTGGACGGGATCGGAGAGAACGTTCCATGCATCGGCAACCAGGCGGAAAGCGGATTCGGCGAATTCGAACTTGTTCTTGTCCGGGTGGAGAAGAAGAGCGAAACGGCGGTACTGTTTCCTAACGAGGTCGGAGTCATCGGTGCGGTTGGGGAGTTGGAGAATAGAGTACCAGTCGTTGTGTTGGCCGATACGCTTTTCGGAAGCTAGCAAGACTTGGGCTACGGCTAAGATCTGCTCGGAGCCGTCGACTAAGGGCTCGGTTTCTTGAGCTAAGACGGCGAACTCTTTACAGCCGGCAAAGTCGCGGTTGCGGAGAAGTTTCTCGGCGATTCCTAGTAAGCGTTCGGCTTCAGCTCGGGTGGTGGTGGTGTGATGTTCCATTTTTTCTTGAGGGAAATTTTTTTCTCTTTTTCTGAGGTTGGATTGCTTTAAATTTTTTCGGATTGTTTTGAGGTTTTTATTTTCCCTCTTGTCTCCTCGAGGACAGTCCGGAAATGGAGCTTGGGAAGTTGGGACGGTTTCAGTGGTGGGTTACAGTTACTGACTGGCTTTCACGGGTTTGGGCTGCAGTTGGCGGGTACAACTTACTAATGCACAAAGTATAATAAGTGTGTGTGGATTGGAAATTATTTAAAATATTATTGAAAATAATTACCGTAAGAAATTTTGTGATATTATGTAATATATGAGATAAAACAAAAACTTGATTGAAAATTATAATTATGATATAAATAAAATAATAGTTGAAATATTTTTGTTGAGACGTGGCACACTTCGCATGAATTAGAGGAAAATGCACACCCTCTACGTGTGCAAATTAAAAGACTTTTATTAAAGTACAAATATTATTTGCCTTAAAGCTATAATAAAAATCATTAACAACTTAGTGATGAGGAGGAGATTTTTAAAATTCCTTCGATTAGATTTGAATTCTAAACCTGACAATTGAATGTCAGAAGGGTGTGAGGAGAAGTAAGAGAATTTTAAAAAAAAACCATAAATAAATGTTTTATAAGGCGAACAAATAACTTTTGCAAAATATTAGGTATCCAAACAAAATAAGGACGATAGTTATATATGACAGAGGCATCTCTCAAAGTCTTCCATATTTGTTTTCTTTTTGTAAGCTTTTATAGTTTTTTGGTACATACATTCTTGTTACAGCCAAAGTCCCATTATCATCAACAGGCCAACGGCTCCTTGGACTGTAAGGTTGTGTCAGAGCACTCCCTTGGTCTAGTTGAATCTGTATATCCACTAACTTCTTATCACAGCCTCCTTAGGCTTCATTTTCCCCCCTAAATTAAGATAGAGTAGATTATACAAATGTATCGTTGCTGACAAAAAAAAAATACAGCGGTACACTTTGAGCGAAAAAATGATTTTTTGATGTTTGTCCAAGCCACACAAGTGTCTGTTCAATTATGGCTCCAAAGCCAAAAATTAAAACAGAGAGAAGTATTATTTCAAACATCGTCTTTCTTCTTTTGTGTGTGTGTGTGTGTGATTTCCAGGATAGGTACTAGTACATGACATGTTTATTTGCGGGCATGATCCAGATCAAAACTGCGATCTCGTAATTCTCGCAGTTTGGGCTAAACTTTTCCGAATCACTTATGGGGATCCGCTTGGGCCGAGCCTGCTTCCTTCTTTTGTGCTATATACGTACTCTTTCGTGTCCAAGCGCAACAACGAGTCGCAACAAATCCAAGAGTTAAAAGCTAAAAAAAAAATTGGGCCAAATTGTAACAACATCCAAATCATTAGAGCCGAGTGGACAAAACTGGGAGTTTGGTTTGAAGTTTGAACGCCCAAATGGGCATCGGTGAAGATTTTTCATTCACTCTGATCCCTAGCTCACGTCACAAATACATTTCCAGATGGAAGATTCTTTTGTTTAGACTTGTAAATGATTTGTCATGGATGGATGCTTGTAGGCTCTGAAAAAGCGTAGCATAATTTGACACATATAAACGTTATGGGAGAAGAAGAATTTCTTACTTTTAATGCAAATATAGAGCACATTCGATTCTCATATTGAAAACTAGCACAAACTTTGCTGTAATTGCCTTTACAATAACAAAGACTCTCGCCATTTTTTTTTTTTTGGGGGTTCATTGGCGTAGGAATAAGAGCTTTTTAGAGGTGGGCTAGTGGTTGCTATGTGTATGACGTACGGTTGGAATTTCAATATTGGGCTCAATAAGGAACATTGCAGCCAGATGAGCCCAGCTCTGAGTGGCCGATCCTAATTTTTGTATCCCGTTGCTCTATAGAGCAATACTCGACTCGCACCTTGCGAGTCAGTCATTTTTTGACCCTTACCCGTCCCGTATATCAGTGGGTATCGAATTATCGAATACTCACCGAGATAGGATCGGATCAATTGGTACCCGTCCCGCCTCACTTATTATTTAATTTTCTGTAAAAATACGATTTATATTAATTTAATTTTGTATTTTACATATTCATATAAGATTTAATAAATATTTTTCTCAAAAAAAAGTCACTCACTAAGAAACAAACATGCGAAAAGAATACAAGAAAAAAAAAAAAAAAATAAAAAATAAAAGAAATCAAAATCAATAAAAATTTGTAATGCAATAAGATTATGACATCTACAAATGATTTTTGTAAACAAACTGTAGTGTCTCATATTTGTAATGCAATTTGCTCAATGAAATTGTTTATGTAGTTCTAAAATTATTGTTTTATAGTATGTGTATAAAAATATTAAAAAATATGCGGGGCAAGTCGAGTACCTGTGAATTTTTTAATTATGTAACTTTAATCCGCCCAGCATTTAAACCAATATCCGACTCTCTTTTACACCAATATCCGACTCTCTTTTAACACGATCAAATAATATGAATCAAGTATCCTAATTCTCGAATCAGATCGGATTAAATATGGCGAGTTTTTGGGTTAGTGGGTATTTTTGCTTTCCCCTACACAGAAAACGGGAAAAAAAAATGTGGTTCCACTTCCCAAAAAAAAAAGAAGAGAAATGCACTTTCGACCATTGAAGTTTAGGCAGCTAACCATTTGAC